AATTAGATGAGCAATACAACTCATTCCATCATCAGAGTTGAATTCTATTTTGTACCCGATAAATTCAGCGTGACCATGGGACATCCCATGCCATAGGCAGAATATCAACCTCCCAGAGACATCACATTCTAATCCCCAGAACCTGTTAATGTTACTTTTCATAGGAAAAAGGATTTAGCAGACGTGATTAAGTTAAGGATCTTGAGATGGGATATATCCTGGAATATCCAGGTGGGCCTACTCTAATTCCCAGAGACATCACATTCTAATCCCCAGAACCTGTTAATGTTACTTTTCATAGGAAAAAGGACTTAGCAGACGTGATTAAGTTAAGGATCTTGAGATGGGATATATCCTGGAATATCCAGGTGGGCCTACTCTAATCACAAGGGTCTTTATAAATGAGAGGGAAAAGCAGGAAAGTCAGAGAAGAAGTGATGATGGCAACAGAGTGGAGTGATGTGCCTGTGAGCCAAGGAATGAGGGCAGCCTCTAGAAGCTGGAAAAAGCAAGGAAGCAGATTCTCCCCTTAAGAAATACAAACCTTAATTGTAGCCGAGGGAGACCCATTTGGGGACTTCTGATCTCTAGAACTGTAAGATAATAAATTTGTGTTGTTTTAAACCACTACATTCATGGTAATTTGTTACAGCAGCCACAGGAAACTAATACATCCTGGTAGAAGTCCAACCGGCCGCAGATTATATTGGCCTAACAGTCGGGAGCGGGAAGAGGGTTGGAGAGGGAGACAGAGGACTCTTTGGCATGCCGTGCATGCATGGTCACAGCAGAGGGGGTGGATGAGATCACAAAGGGAAAGGGAGTGTGTCGAGGCTTGAGCCCTGAGAGGAGTGTAGCTAAATGAGATGGGAACGGATAGAGCCTTTTCCCTATCTTTCACAGGAAAAAAGGACTTAGCAGATGTGATTAAATCATTTTTTCAATTGGGTTAGGAGGGAAGGAGTGCCCCAGTGACAAAGGAAGCAAAGCAGCTGATACACCAAAAGCAAATTTTAGGACTTTGTCCACAACCTGTCTGTGGACAGTCAACCACGAAGTACACAGCATTTACTGTCCAACACCACCAGGCAATCAAACCGTATTTCTCTAGAATGCTTATTTTCCCTATTTCACATCTTTTTCGCTCTTCAAACCCTCTATCTCTTGCTCCTCACCTCTCAATCTCTGATGATAAGCTTGCCTCATAATTCACTGAGAAAATCAAAGTAAATGAGAAAAGAAGACCCTCGTTTCTCACACCCAGTATTGCTAACCTGCCTGCCTGTCCTGTCCTTCCACGCCATCACCGTGCACCTGCACCTGCACCTGCCATCTATGCTGTCACTGTGGATGAAGCATCCCTTCTACTAAAGGCCAACCCCTCCCCTGAGCCTTGGATCTCTCCCCTTCTTTCTTTGCCCTTGCAAATCTCCCCCTCTCCTACATCATCAGTTTCTCTCTCTTTACATACAAGTGTGACTCAGTATCTCTCATCTTTAAAAAACTCCCTCCATTGACCACACAGCTCTATACAGCTGTTGCCCCAAGTGTAGAGTTGTCTCCATTTCCTAACCCGACATTTGCTTCTCAAACCATTCTAGCAGTTCTTTAAAGCCCACCCCTCCCTGAGACTGCTCATGGCAAGGCTGCCAGTGATCTCTATATTGCTGATTCCAATACTCTTTTGACTTCTGTGTTATCAGATTCTTTCTAGTTTTCCTCCTGCTCTGTCGTTCCTTCTCTTCCTTTACTTGACCCCCAAATGGCAAAGGGCCCTAGAGCTTTAGAGCTTTGTCCTTGGTCACCTTCTTTCTTTTTAGCTACACATATTTCTAGGTCATCTTAACCAGTTCCAGGGATTTAAAATCTACAATGGCCACAACTCCAGTGTTTGTTTTTACCCAATGCCTACTTGACATCTCATGGATGCATGACCAGACCATAATTATTTCCCTCCTCCCAACCTGCTCCTTCCCCAATGTTTCATATCTTATAAATGGCACCACCATCTGCCCAGTTGCACAAATAAAAAATCCAGAAATTATTCTTGAATCCTCTCTCCCTAACAAACTGAACATCCAACCCATTAGCAAATGCCATAGACTCTACCTCCAAAAATATTTCAACTCTCATTTCTCAGTCTCCCCCACTATCAGCAGCATTTAAGCCACCTTCTGGCATATACTTCTGAAATACTTTTCTAATTGACTGAATCAATTGGCCTTTGTCACATGACCACCCCCAAAGCCTTGTGACCTAAAACATTATTTCTCACATTCTGTAGGGTAAGTTGGGCTGTTCATCTGGTCAGGATGGGGTTGGCTGCGGCAGGATGGTCTTGGAGAGCCTGACATGCTTCACAGCTGGTTGGACATCAGCTGGGCGATGACTTGACCATGGGTCCTTCCTCACCCATCAGGCTAGCCCAAGCTCATTCATATGGTGGTGGTCACAGGAGCCCCAAGATCAGCAAGAGGGCAGGCCCAAATCACAAGTGCTTTTTAAGCCTCTGCTTGCTTCATTTTTGTTAATGTCCCATTGGCCAAAGGAAGTCACAGACCAGCACAGAATTGGGGGGGTGGGGAGACACTACCAGAAGGTGTAGAAAATTGGGGAGACTGAGAATAACTGGTGGCTATTTTTACAATCTACTACACTGATCTCCCCGCTTCCACCTACTTTGCCTCTCTAAAATCCATTTTCCATACAGCAACCCAAGTACTCTTTTAAATGCACACACACACACACACACACACACACACACACTCATTTCACTCCCAAACCCTCCTACGTCTTCATTTAAAATCCAAACCCTATTATGAATTCAAAACCCCCTCCAGGATCTGGCTTTTGCCTACCTGCCTGACTTACCAAATACCATCACCCCTTATCCATTACGTTCCAGGCACAGCCGTCTGTTTCCTTGAATTCAGAAAACTCTCTGTTGCCTCAAATCTTTGCACTTCTGTTCCCTTTGATTGGAATACTTGTCCCCCTGATATCTGCGGAGCTGGCTTTCTGCCATTCGGATCTCAGCTTAAAACTCATTTCATCACAGCCAGTCTAGGATTATTCTCAATCACTTCACGTTATTTAAATTTCCTGCAAAGCACACATCACCGGTATTTTATTTGTCCTCTCCCTACCCTCCAGCGTTTATCACTGCAGCCCCCAGTGCCTACAACACTGCCTGGCATATGGTAGGCACAGAAATATTTGTTGCATACATGCAAAAGCGCATAGTGTGTCCTAGAGTTGTGCTAATCTACGGGTGTTCTACTCTCTTCCCATCTCAGCAGGATAGTTTCATAAATGTAAATTCCATACTGAGGATTCACTGGATTCCTCAATATGGAATGTTACACCTCATCCCGTACCACTAACTCCCCTTCCTCTGTTTCCCCAGCCATCCCCTTGCAAAAAAATAAAAATAAAAAATCCTGAGGAGGGATTGGTAAAACTTAGGATCATCACTTTGCCACATGTTGTTGGCTTCATCAGGCTTGACGTAAACTAACAGCAGCAGCAGCAGCGAGGAGAGGTTGGGAGGTAGGAAACCTCACCGTGCGCTGGCAGGGGAGCTCAGTTGGCTAGAGCGCAGCCTTGTAACACCGAGGTCACGGGTTCGGATCCCCATACCGGCCAGCTGCCCAAAAAAAGAGAAGAAAACTTCACCACCGACCAAAGGCGGACAGCCAAGGACCAGCGGATGGATCCGCAGCACTGCATGCTGGGAGATGTAGTCCCCAGGGGAGGCCAGTCAGGGAGGCTGGGGCCCCCGCAGCATGCTGGGAACTGTAGTCTCTGTTGAGACTCCGCCCCCTCTTCCAGCAGCAGCGGGCGGGCGGAGGGAGGGGGAAACCCTCCATGCTGGGAACTGTAGTCTTTCTCGGACCCCTCGCCTCCAGGGCGGAGACGCGCCCCGGCGGCCGCCATCTTAGGTCCCGAGGTGCGGCGGCCGAGAAGCAGCGCGCAGGCGGGCTCAGCCCCG